GGGCCCCACAACAAGCTCCAGTTCCCAGAATTCCATAGGGCAGTTAAACCGGGTTATTTCTCCAGTGTGGATGCAGCCTGAGACTGCCCTGGCTCAAGGCTATAGGATTCTGGGAAGGGTAGTTTCTGGCGAAGGCTATGTATGGTAAGTATTGCAGCCTTAATTGACTCCTAACTTTTAAATGGTACCTCTAGATGCAGGTTTTTACCACACAACCACACCACCCCTCTTATGTAATTTGTTGGGAGCACCAAAGCCCCAACAAACTACCCTTCCCAGAATTCCATAGCCTTTGAGCCAGGGCAGTCAAGGGTCCAAACTCCAGAAATAATCCAGTTTGAGACTGCTTTAGTGCTAGGGAATCCTGGGAACTATTGTGAGACATTTAGGGGGGTTGCAGACTGCCAGAAATAGTGCAAATTGAGTCCACTTTTAGGGTTAGGTTTAGTGCTAGGGAATCATGGGAACTATATTTTATTGTGGCATCAGAGCTCTCAATGGCTCAGAAAACAACAACAATTCCTATGATTCCCTAGCACTAACCCTAACCCTAAAAATGGACTCAATTTGCACTATTCCTGGCAGTCTGCAACCCGTCCTTAGCCTTCTCTGTCAGAGATCTTTGATGCCACAAAAACTATAGTTCCCAGGATTTCTCAGCACACTGAGGTCCAAAACACACTGCCAAAATCATCCAGTTTGAGACCGCTTTAACTGCCCTGGCTCAGTGCTAGGGAATCCTGGGAATTGTAGTTTATTGTGGCATCAGCTGTCTGACAGAGAAGGCTAAATGTCTCACAAAGCCACAATTCCCAGAATTCCCTTGCATTGAGCCAGGGCAGTTAAAGCGGTCTCAAACTGGATGATTCTGGCAGTGTGTTTTGAACCCAAGTGGTGTCAAACCGGATTATTTCTCCAGTGCGGACGCAGCCTTAGTGGCGTCACGTCAGTGTGGCCTAGTGGCCTGAGCTTTGGACTATTATGACTCTGGAGATCAGGGTTTGAATCCTAGCTCCACCATAGAAACCCACTGGGTGACCTTGGGCAAGTCACACTCTCTCAGCCTCAGGGGAAGACAATGGCAAATCCTCTCTGAAGAAACTTGCCAAGAAAACCCTATGATAGGGTCACTACAAGGAGGAAACAACTTGAAGGCACACAGCAGTGAATGTTTATCTTGTGGTTACAGTGTGGCAAGCAAATACTCTCAATCAGACACGCATGAAACTAAAACACTGAAAAAATAAAAATGAACACTCAAAACAACAAACGTCATTTATTTATATTTTGTGCTATGTTTTATAAAGCGTGTATATTCTCCCCCCTGAAGGCTCTCTCAGACTAGGTAAACTAGTTGTTTATATTTTGTCCCAAGAGGGAGGCTCTCTCAGACAGTATTTCATAAAGTCGTTGTTTATATTTTGCCTCAAGAGAGAGTCGTTCTCAGAGTATATTTATAAACTAACTGTTTATATTTTGCCTTAATTGAGGCTCTCTCAGACCCCATTCATAAACTAGTTGTTTATATTTTGCCCCAAGCGAGGCTCTCTCAGACTGTATTTTATAAACTAGTTGTTTATATTTTGCTTCAAGCAAGGCTCTTTCAGACTACATTTGTAAACTAGTTGTTTATATTTTGCTTCACGCAAGACTCTATAAACTAGTTGCTTATATTTTGCTTCAAGTGAGGCTCTTTCAGACTATAATTGTAAACTAGTTGTTTATATTTTGCTTCAATTGAGACTCTTTCAGATTACATTCATAAACTAGTTGTTTATATTTTGCTTCAAGTGAGGCTCTTTCAGGCTATATTTATAATGTAACCGTTTATATTTTGCCCCAAGCGAGGTTCTCTCAGACTATATTTTATAAACTAGTTATTTATATTTTGCTTCAAGCGAGGCCCTTTCAGAATGTATTTGCAAACAAATTGTTTATATTTTGCTTCAAGCGAGACTCTATATTTATAGTAATTTATATTTTGCCCCAAGGGAGGCTCTCTCCAAGACTCCAACTATATTTATGAACTAGTCGTTTATCTTTTGCCTCAAATGAGGCGCTTGCAGGGATAATGAGGGAATAATACTAGGATGCTCCCGTCATTATCACGCGATTTGGTGAAGATTTTCAGACAACGTCGTGCGATAAATAATAAATATAAATAAAATTTATTTATACCCCGCCCATTGGTAATCCAATCCGGGCGGCATTACAGTTAAAACACGCAATTTACAATAAACATACAATGTAAACAACCCCCCTCCCCCCCTTAAAACAGGATTAAATCGAGACAATATAAAACAATAATTCAATTTGGATATATTAAAATATGTAGCCATCCTGCCCAGAAAAAATGTCGTGATAATCCTGCTATTATCCTGTGAACAAAACTCCATTTTCCAACTGTTTTTCATTCATGGGATTTTCCACACTGGAGAAATAACCCAGTTTGGCACCGCTTTAAATACCCTATGGAATTCTGGGAATTGGAGTTTGCTGTGGGGACCAGAGTGGACAAACAAACAACAAACTCCAATCCCCAGATTTCCATAGCCTTGAGCCAGGGCAGTCCCAAGTGTTGTCGAACCGGATTATTTCTCCAATGTGGACACAGCCCAAGATGAAACGCCGCTTTGTTCACAGGATAATGGCGGGATTATTGCGATGTTGCACGACTTGTCTAAAAATCTTCCCCAAATCACGCGATAATGACAGGAGCCTCGCGCTATTATTCCATTATTATCCTGTCTCTTTTGCCCGTATGAAAAAGTCCCAAGACTCCCTATCCTCCACTGCTCTGCTTAGGTTCTGGGGATTCATTCCTGTGACCTCCTTAATAGAGTCCATCCATTTTGCCTGTGGCCTCCCTCTC